TCTCCCTCTCTCTCTGCCCCTCCCCCGTTCATGCTCTGTCTCTCTCTGTCCCAAAAATAAATAAATGTTGAAAAAAAAAATTAAAAAAAAAATAAATAAAACTACTCAACTCATTCCACAGTCAATGAGCAACTGTTACATTGCAGGCACTGTGTTAAGTAATGGAGAAAGATATATATGTTCCCTGCCCTCAAGAAGTTCCTTGTTAACTAGGTAGAGAGACTCATAAATAAGAAACTGTAATTAAATATGATAAGTGTTCTCAAGGTACAAGCAAATTCAGCATGCTTCACAAACTTCCATGTAATCCCTGAGCAGGGGGTCACGCCGCATCATTTCAATTTTAGTATGTGTCCTACCGAAGCAGGAAAGTCAGAAGTTACAGGTTACTAAGAACCCTAAAAATGAGGGTAAATATTCATCCTCCACAAGGTGAAAACGGTGTGCATTTTGCTATTCTCTTTCACAGAAACTGCTGTACCATGAAGGTAGGTATTTCTGTGTTTTAATCTGGATGAATCTTCTTAAAATTTCCTTCACGGAATATTACTGATTGTACACTTATCTCTAAAACTCTACATTTGCAAAAGATGCAGTGAATAATCATGACATAAAAATTAGCCAACTTCCTGCATCTGCGTAAAAACCTTTCTTTTCCACTAATTGCTATATCTTACTAAGACAAGAAGTTTTGGGGCTATGATAAGGTCCCATCATTGGTGATGCGATTTGTTTTAGTCACTTGAAAGATGTTACACAGGAAAATGTTATGGAAACAATAGACATTCGAAGGAGCTTTTGTAAGAGTTTCAAAAACAAGAAACACAAGGGGAAAGAGTTTAATTTTTTAAAAAACAATATGCCATCCTCCCAATATTCATAATGAATCAGGCACATGATTCCCTCCAAGACAGTGGATGAGTGAGTGGATAAGAAGTGAGGTAGGGGAGTGAGTGGGTGCTCAATTGATCTTGAAAATTGAAATCCATTTTAAAGTATCTCGATGGAAATTTAAACCTATTAAGACCTAAGGTCAAAAACAATTCGTGATACTAATTTGGGATAAAAGAAAATCACAATTCTAGAGAACCTGGATAGAAATCAACAAAAAGGCTTCCACTACAAGTGAACAGCTTCAAGACCTTTCTGTGTAAATCTGGAGTTGAACAAATTCTAAGTTAAAATGTATGCTGTCAAGGTCCCTGCAAGAAAATCTCAAGTGAATTTCAATTTCCAGATCAATATATGCTGAGACAATTTACCGGAGAAACCTTCAACCTTTACACAGGGTGAGGAACATTATCATTACAATCTTTACCATGAAGGCTACCTTGAATTCATTATTTCACGAAATGGCATATTATAAATGGCACTGACCAAGTCCGATTTTGTAGGCTATGAATGAGATTTCACGTTCACAATCGTTAAGGTAGCCACAGCGTGCCTATCACCTCAGAATTAGCTTGCTCTCCCTCCTTATGCAGTTCTGAAGCAACAGAAAAGATGAATTTAGTTCTACCAGAGGTGTTTCCTGAAAACATTCTATCAGTTATAAGCCAGCAGAATACTGATTGTGCTAATGTGATGCTGACCACTTCTTTTTGATACCTAAAGAGATCACATCATCAGTCTTCCAGACCTTAAGGAATCAGAACTGGTTACTAACATTGATCCAATGACGGTTACATTCCGTCATCACAATATAATTAACATTTTAATTTCACATATTCCAATTATGACTTTGCTGGCTCATTTAAAGCAAATGTAACTAAGACACAACAAATATCACTCACCCACACAGTCTTTTGGGAGCTTTTGGGAAACACCTAATTTACCTCACCTGGGTGCTAAGAATGAAGCAACCAAGGAGATTTTTTTTTTTTAACGTATTTGTCTCTATGGAACGGTGCTATCCACATACGCCTATGGAGCACCTGAAATGTAGCTAGTCCAACTGAGAAACTGAATTTTGAATTTTATTTAATTTTAATTAATTACAATTTAAATTTAGAAAGAGATATCGATTAGGTTATTAGAAAACTTTTAGATATGTTTGAGAAAACTTGGGTGTGTGAATCTACTTTTGCAAATGCAAATGTCATGAAATCTAATACAGATCAAGCATTTCCGATGAAAATTTAGCTTAGTGTCAGAGCTGAGATGTGTTGTTAGTGTAAAACACACACTGGATTCCAAAGACTGAGCACAAAAGAAAGAAAGGATGTAAAATATCTCATAAATAATTTCTACACTGAATACGTGTTGAAGTGCTAACAGTTTTGGGTCTACTGGCTTAAATAAAATATTTTATTAAAACCGACTGCACCTATTTGCTTTTAATTTTTTTAATGCGGCTATTGCAAAATTTACATATGTAAAATTTTTGTCTATAAAATTACATATGTGCCTTGCATTGTATATCTTTTGGACAGCGCTGCTCTCGAGCACTTCCACAAACACTTTACCAGGGCGCATTTGGATATCCTTCTAGTAGACAGGCTGGTCATGTAACAATAGGGGCAAGGAGTAACATGTCCTTGTACCAATTGGGTCTGAGGAAAGTGTGTAGCCAGCTCTACCCGTAGTTTCACCATGTGAGGCAACACTGTAATACCTCAACATAGAAGAAAAAAAAATGAGTTATCAGCACTTAAACAAATTGAAATCCAGTACTGCAGACAATTTAAAAGGGATACAGTAAACTGCTCTAAGGTCTTGGTTTCATTTCCCAACTGCGGACCTTAAAATAGACAATAAAGCACCGCTTCCAAAAAGAGGTAAAATATTTCAACGGTAGCTACCCAGCAATCCTTCATAAAGGAGCAAAAATTGCTCTTAAATCTGATCTCAACTTCTAAAGGCACAGAATACACGCTGAACTAGGAAATCAACTTCAGATCGCCAGCCTTTGCCTAACAAATTAGCAGGATTGTGCACTTGGAATACTGTTTGACAAGAATGAAAAGGAAACTATTCAAAACAGATTTAAGGAATGGACAATTAGATGAGGAACTGCAGATTTAATTCTCAATCAGCACTGTGATTAATCTGATTCCCTGCTTTTCCCTAGTGTAATTATACAACACTGATGAAAGGATGAGCATTTGGACTGTCAGTTCTATATTCTAGACCAGCCCGGTGACTCAAAGCAGACGGCTCTGCCACACGAACCACCACCATCCCAACAACAGTCGAGGGAAGCCTCGAACACTGATTTAACAGTCATTGCATAACGAGGCATTAAAAATTCGGATACCCCCAACTCTTTCCACGCTGGCCTACACCGGGTAAGGAATTTGCTGAAACTGAACGCACCCCGTCTGAAAATGACCCCGTCCAATCCGGGCATGGGGTGAACACAAAGACATCTATCTAATATCCTGCACAATAGACACACACCCCACAATTAAAAACCCTGGACGTTCTCTCTCTATCGGTCCATGCAAGCAGAGGAAATGCAAGCTGCTCTTTTCCTTAATGGTCTGTGGTACACGCAAGGTAACAATAACCCCAACTGTTCCCAGGAAGCAACTATAAAATCGGGGCTGCCACGTCCCTGTGCAACCGTCAGATAAAATGCAGACAGCGGATTTCGGCCGGCCGCACGCCTCGTGGGGTGGCCGACCTCGGCTCGGTGACTTCCACGGCTGGCTGAGAACCCCCGGGACCCCCGCCCGGCAGGAGGTCCAGGTACACGTCTATAAATACGCCCGGGTGAGGAGGACGAGGGAGGCGGAGGGGAGGAGGGCAGGGGGCAGGCCCGGAGCGGGTGCCGGTGCGGGAGGACCCGGGCATCACTGAAATGCATTTTTCCACACTCCCGCTCCCTCGCGTAGCGACTCACTTGCCGATCACCTCGCACAGCTCGTACACATCCTCGAACAGCACGTCGTCGTCGGCCATGGTCCGGAGGGGACAGCGGCCGCAGCGTGGAGGGCTCCGAAAACGGGGGTGGGGGCGCCAAAGAGCTCAGTGCCCGGCCCCTGGCTCTCCTCCCCTCAGGACCCGCGAGCCCTCGGTGCTGAGGACGCTCGAGTGGGGCTGCGAGGCCCGGAGACTGCGGCGCCTTCCTCTGCGGGCGACCACCCCGGCGCGGGCGGCGGGGCCGGGGCGCGGGAGCGAGGGCGGCCCGGGCCCGGCGCCG